GGTAACGGTGTCCCACTCATACGAAATCCGCTCTAAGAAACTAATTTTGCTTTCCTTGTGTGGCCGTTATAGCGAGGTAAACACTTTTGCCGTGTGATCAAATATCATTCCCAAATCTATGTTTTACTATTTTCAGAATCAAAAAGCTTTGCTAGTTTGCCAGGAAACGTAAAATTAAACATTTTAAAATCGTTTTCGAACATCTTTACCAACTGCAAGATTTTCGTATTAGGAATTTGCGAATAATAATACGACAGCTCAGCGGTGGTGTTCGACGCGTGAACAGTTGGGAACGAAACGCGTCTGTCAATTCCCGCCTTTATGACCAAATACGGTGCTTCCTCAGCTAGATCTTCGTAATGTCCAATGAAATCATAGTTAACTGCACAAGGATAACAAAGGTTGGTAAAGGATTTCCAGTGCACATCGGAGTCTTTTGTTTGCAGCAAAAAATCGGTGAATTCTGGAAACGTAACAACACTACCTGTTTTAAGGGCTTGTCGAGTAGCGTTTGGTCGAAATTTTGCGATGATTTTTCTGCCAATAGCATTTCGGTAATATTTGTTGTCCTTTAGTAACTTGTCTTTGTAAGCGGAAAGTATACGTTCCAACGGATCACGAACAAACATGAACGTGAAGTACCTCTTCAGCATTTTCCAAGCATCTTGCTCAGAAAAAAAATTTAAGTTGTTCTTAATCATTCCGGTAGTGTTTGCCACACGATTCATTTGCTCATCTTCCTTTTTCAAAACGGAGAGAGTTTCCGTCCATTGCGTACTTGCAACTTTTGGAACAAAACAATAGATAAYYTTACTCTTCCGAAAGACCTGAAAATGACGCCGATCAGACCCAAACTCCTTTAGATAGAGAGAGTTATTAATTTTGTGTGTCTTGCAGTAGTCCGCAACCATCTTTCTCCGTTTCTGCATGCGATCTTCAAGTCGTAGGAGAAAGTTTGTAAAATCCTGAAAGCGAAAGACTGATTACACATACMTTCAAGCCCGCTTGAATAAA